TTGCATACTTGACTCTAAACATCTCTTAAGCTCCATTTCTTACACACAAACCGACCATAGGGAGGCGAGAGTGAGAGATTGAGTTGTTCATCTTGAGTTCTTGAAGATTTGGCTTAGACAACTTGGAGAATTGAAAGTTAATTGTTGATTTGCGGTTTTACACTTGTAATTGAAGCTCTAGGTAAGAGAATTCAACCTTTATTGATGTGTTTGGGCTTGTTCTTGCATGATTTATGTCAAAATTGAGAATTGAGCCACGATTTAGTGCTAGCATGTTGTAATAGAGCATAATTCATGCATGCATGTTAGTATTGTGGGATTTTGAGTTGAGTTCATGGCAAATTGTCACATGCATGTCCATAATTGTGTAATGGTCCACGTTTTCAACTTGTTTCTGGATCAATTGGCTCCTTAGAGCATCAAATTGAAGCTTTGAATTGATTTGAATTCATGCATGTTTGCATGTTCTCCATGTTTATGAAAATGGTTTGAAATTGGGTTTGAATTAAACACCCTTGGGCTTTGATTTCCTAAATTGAGTTTCGAAATATGTTATTCTATGTGTTCAAAAGAGTTTTCCAGAAAATTGGCCCAAGAGGATCGAATTTTATGCATCTAAGCTTGGTTTTGAACCTGGAGCTCGAATCTGGGACTTCCAGATTTCAGTCGTCCGCTCGAGCGGGGGAAGTGCCGCTCGAGCGGGAAAATCGAGCTTCCAGCATCTTGCACTGTAGAACAGTCCGCTCAAGCGGAGTATTGAGCGCTCGAGCGGAGGACTGGATGACACGCTCGAGCAGGCGTCGAGCGGGGATTTCCCCTATCAAGTACTTTTTGGTCCGCTCGAGCGGTATAATTGACGCTCGAGCGGGGACCTTTGTTTGCCTGTACGCTCAAACGGGGAAACCTGCGCTCGAGCGGGACCCTGTTTCACTGAAATTTCTGAAAATGTTTTCTAAGTGCATCCTCATTTCATCCTAGGCATTCTCAGGTCTAGTTTTAAACATCTTAATGAGGATATAGATGTAGAACACACCGAGGCAAATTTATGGATCTGATTATTACCTTCCCCAACTGTGAAACTTAGAGTGTGTTCAATCTGTTAACTGTATAGGGTTGGCATTTCGAGGAGACGCTCTAGCCTACTGCAGCCCAGAACTCTGTGAGTAACGATTGTGTAAAGATATGTTCAACTGATTATCTTTTGAATACTGAACTGAACTGTTTACTGAACTGGCATTATTTGCTGAATGAATGTATGTCCTTTATTTCTGAACTGTACTGTGGCATCCTTAGCACCTACTGTTTACTGTTACTGTTACAGAGATCTCTGTCGGTTCCCTCGTATAGCCACTACTGTTTACTGATTGATGGTCATCATTACTGCTCGGTCTTTTAAGACCTACTGTTTACTGTACTGTTATGCTAACGGGTGTACCACATATGACTGTACTGACTGAATGACTGAAATACTGTTTAAATGAACTGTTTTCATATTGTAATGACATTCATTCTTAACCTCTTTACGCATTATGTTATTCACTGGGCTTTAGCTCACTGTTTATATATATATATATGTAGGTGCTCTGCCACCCGATCGGAGCTAGGAGCGTGGGTTAGACTCCAGTTTTGTCAAGCCAACCTATGTGCCTCACTGCGAGGTTCCAAGCCTATCATGCTAAGGCTTAGGGGTGTTTTAGGATTCCCCCTTCTGTACTGTCTTACTGCTCTGTATAGACTGAATGTTTACTGTACTGTTATGCAGGGATGGGGTCCCTAGTCTGAATGACTGTAAATATTGTGCATACTGTTCTGTACTGTTTATGTATAAATGTATGAGAAGTCTTTTTGCAGACAGACCGTCGCAGCTCATTGGACATTGTTTATTTACTGTATTGGCTTCCGCCAGGCCCTGTACTCTGTTTTACTGTTTTACTGTCCTGCAGGCCTTCGGTAATCTCGGATTACTGGCCGGTTACGGTGCTAAACCCATAGGGCCGGGTTTGGGTCGTGACACTTTGGTGGATTCCGGAGTGACTCATTGTCAAGACAATTTCGAGGTGAAGACAGGGTTGGAAGAGGCACATAGAGGTTGGTTCAATTTGGGTGTGGATTCGCTAGGTAATTGAGAGTATACCTGTGTAATTCCTTTATATTTTTTTAGTGAATTGTTTTGTGGTTGTTGCTCGTGGTTTTTTATCACAATTGGAGGTGTCCAATTGTGGTTTTTTCATGTAAAATCGTTGTGTTGATTTATCTTGATTGTTTGATTGAGATTGTTATATACTGTTTAAAATTGATACATAATCACAAATCAACATCTGGGGGATTTCTAGATTTTTCAATACCCATCGCTGTGGATGATTTTAGGAATTTAGTATTTAGATTTTAAATTAATTTGTAGAATAATGAATGATTGGATAATATATATACATTTACAGGTTATAAATATACATATATATACAAATTATATATATATTATTCACTGTGCATATATATGTTTGTGATACAATTTGCAGGTTTATATATATATATATATATATGTATGTTAGAGTTGGTGATTCAAATTTTGTTTTCTTTTTTATTTACTTGTCATAATTTAACATCAATTGATTTGATCAAACTTAAACATTTGTAAACATTTTTAATTGATTACTTTCACTCGGAGTGGTTTGATTATGGAGCTATTGGTGGGAGTTTGTAATTTTTTTTTTTTTTTGTTCGTACAGATTTCCAGATTTAGGTTTTGAAAAATGAAAAGGTGTAGACACCTCATTTTTGACCGTCCTCAAGACTTGGACGTCATCGTTTGAACACTTGATGATCATCCATGCTCGTGTTCGTTTTGAGATCTCGGAGGTCTCGGCTATGCGCCTTGCCTCAAGATCTCTCAACTTATCTGTTTTGTGCTTGGTCATGGACCAAACAATTGTGTTTTTGCTTCTGAGGGTAGGGAATGGCTTGTTGGTCATCCCCACACCTCACCGGCCTTGGCTTTGGGCCA